CGCTCTTCTCTCCTGGATCACCTCCGGCCACTGCCCCTCCCCTTTCCCCGACTGGAACCCAACGGACTCCTCCCCCTGCAACTGGAACCACCTCACCTGCGACTCCTCCGGCTCCGTATCCTCCATCTCCATCCTCTCCATTCCCCTCACCCTTCCTCTCCCCACGACCTTCTGCACCTCCCTCCCCTCCCTCTCCTCTCTCACCATCTCCGCTTCCAACCTCACCGGCTCCATCCCCTCCTTCTCCGACTGCCGTGGCCTCACCGCACTCGATCTCAGCTCCAACTCTCTCAATGGCCCCATTCCCGCATCTATCTTCCGCCTCCCGTTGCTCCACTCTCTCATTCTCAACTCCAACTCCCTCTCCGGCCAGATCCCCTCTTCGCTCGGCGAATCCGCCGCTCTTCGTATCCTTCTTCTCTACGACAATCGCCTCTCCGGCTCTATTCCTGACTCCGTTGGTAATCTCTCCGGACTGCACACCTTCCGCGCTGGTGGAAACCATGATCTCTCCGGTCCGATTCCCGATTCCCTCTCCCAATGCCGCAATCTCACCGTTCTTGGACTCGCAGACACCAAGCTATCGGGCACTATTCCAGCCTCCATTGGCCGCCTCTCGAATCTGCAGACGCTCTCTGTTTACACGGCGATGCTCTCAGGCGCCATCCCCTCGGAGCTCGGCAACTGCTCTGCGCTCACCAATCTGTTTCTGTATGAGAACTCGCTCTCAGGTTCTCTCCCCCCGGAGCTCGGCAGGCTCTCTAATCTGCAGCGGCTTCTTCTCTGGCAGAACTCGTTCTCTGCATTCATACCTGAACAGTTCGGTAATCTTTCGTCTCTACAAATCATCGATGTCTCCATCAATTCGATTTCGGGCGCTATCCCGCTTTCTGTTGGAGGTTTAACTAATCTGCAGGAGTTCATGCTTAGCGATAACAAAATCTCTGGGTCGATCCCCCCTTCTATTTCCAATCTCACATCGCTCTTACAGCTGCAGCTGGACACGAATCAGATAACCGGTTTAATACCGCCGGAGATCGGTGAGCTTTCGAGCCTCGTTGTGTTCTACGCATGGCAGAACCAGCTTGAGGGAAGCATACCTTCCAGTTTCGGTTCCCTCACCAATCTCCAAGCCTTAGATCTCTCCCACAATCATCTCACGGGCTCCATTCCGCCGGAGCTATTCCTTCTACGAAACCTCACCAAGTTGCTGCTCCTCTCAAATGACATCTCCGGCGACATTCCGCCGGAGATAGGCCAATGTCGCTCTCTTGTCCGCATGCGCCTCGGCTGCAACCGCATTGGAGGAAGCATCCCCTCGCAAATCGGCCACCTCGCTGGAATCAATTTCCTCGACCTCTCCGGCAACCGGATCAGCGGCTCCGTGCCGGATGAGATCGGAAACTGCTCCCAGCTCCAGATGCTTAATATAAGCAACAACACTCTCTCCGGCCAGCTCCCTGCAACCCTAGGCTACATATCCGGCCTCCTAATCCTCGACGCATCCTTAAACCAATTCAGGGGGCCGATACCAGAGAGCTTAGGGAAATTGGTCTCTCTAAACAAACTCATACTCGAAGAAAACTCGCTCTCCGGCCAAATCCCCTCCTCTCTCTCCCATTGCTCGAACCTCGAACTGCTCGACCTAAGCAATAACCTTCTCACTGGAGCCATGCCCGACGAACTCTGCGAGATCGAAGGTCTCGACATTGCCTTGGATTTGAGCAGAAACATGCTCACCGGACCGATTCCAGAAAAGATCTCAAAACTCCGCAAGCTCTCCGTGCTCGATCTCTCCTACAACAACCTGAACGGAACCCTCACCGTGCTCGCTGGACTCGAGAATCTGTTCAGTCTCAACATCTCCAACAACAACTTTACAGGATACCTCCCAGACACCAAACTCTTCCGTCAGCTCTCGGCCTCCGATCTCTCCGGCAACGAAGGCCTCTGCACACAAGATGGAGATGTCTGCTTCGTAAGCAGCAATTCCAATGGCATTACTTCCGCTGCCAAGGAAAACCGGAGACTGCACAAACTGAAACTCACCATTGTTCTCCTCATCACAGTTACAGTAGCAATGGTGCTCGGGATGCTGGGACTGATCCAAGCAAAGAGAATGACCGTCGGGAAAGGTAATGAAAACGAAGATCCAGAGCTCCGCAGCGAGATGACTCGGCCATGGCAGTTCACTCCGTTTCAAAAGCTAAGCTTTTCCGTCGAAGATGTGGTCCGCAGCTTAGCTGATTCCAACATCATCGGTAAAGGCTGCTCGGGGATAGTTTATAGAGTGAGCATGAGCAACGGCGAAGTGATTGCTGTCAAGAAGCTATGGCCGAGCTCCGCCGCCGCCCCGGCGTCGGCGGCGGCTGGAAAAGAGGAAGGAACCGGCGTCAGAGTGAGGGATTCGTTCTCAACGGAGGTGAGGACGCTGGGAGCGATCCGGCATAAGAACATCGTGAGGTTCTTAGGGTGTTGCTGGAACAGGAGCACGAGGTTGTTGATGTATGATTATATGGCGAATGGTAGTCTTGGTGGATTGCTCCATGATCGGAATGGATGCCCCTTGGAATGGAATATAAGGTATCAGATTATACTGGGCTCTGCGCAGGGATTGGCTTATCTTCACCATGATTGCATCCCGCCGATTGTTCATAGGGATATTAAGGCGAACAATATCCTCATCGGGCTTGATTTCGAGCCCTACATTGCAGATTTTGGGTTGGCGAAGCTGGTGGAGGAGGGTGACTTTGCACGATCGTCGAACACCATTGCTGGTTCATATGGCTACATAGCTCCTGGTTTGCATTCCTTTTTGGGGCATTTACGTATATGCCATCCAATTCTTGTCTATTTACATATCTATCATCTAAAGTTTGCTTTTTTTTAACATTTATGCTATCTAGATTTTTCATATGATAATAAAATGGGAACTTATATTTTTCATTTTTATTCAATTCCGAGTTGGTTCTCCAACATGGGTCCGCCAGCTTATGATTTCTTGGAAAAATATTACATTAGAACATGAAACGTAGAGCTAAGTTCGGATTGCAATAGTTAGGAATATTCCGCCGTGTTACATGAATATTCAATTTGTGTTATTTGTGAAAAATAATATGTTATTCGAGTATTATATGGTGTTATCTGATTATTTTACGGTGTTATTGGAATATCCTTCCGCTTTACTTAATTTAGGGCTGAAGTGTTATTAGAATATTCCCCCTCATTACTTGATTTAGGGTTGTGTTATTTCAATAATATAATAGAAATTAAAATAACACGAGAAATATTCTGAATAAGACAGTCTCAAATCAAGTAACGCGGTGGAATATTCAAATAACACCGCAAAATAATCGAATAACACTTCATTTTTTACAAATAACGCCAATGGACTATTCCTGTAACACAACAAGATATTCCTAACCATTGCAATCCGAACGTAGCTCTACGTTTGGAGTTATGTAATATTTTACCTGATTTTTAAAGATTCTCACATTCCTAAGGTTTATAAATTTTGGCTTTTTGATTTTTGATTTTTGATTTTGATAAGATGATCAAAACTAAAAGATTTAGATTAAAATTAATTAAATAAATTTTGAGTGAGTGTTAGATGGTTAAAAAATCATATTTAATTTTTTATGATTAAAATATTATATCTAATATTTTGGGATATATATTTCTAAAGCTATATGTATAATCTTTTTTTTTTCTTTATGTTATTTGAAGTACTGAAAAGCAAAATAAAATTTCAGTAGATTGGAAGTAAATCAAAACACCGTTTACCATACATTCTGAAATCACTCTTTTTATGATTCTGATTATTGAATCTGAACACAGAATATGGATACATGATGAAGATCACAGAGAAGAGCGATGTGTACAGCTATGGAGTGGTGGGGGGGGAGGGGGGGG